GCTGGGAGCCAGGACTCCTGGTTCTATCTCTGGTTCTGCCACTGATGCCTCATGTGATTGAACAAGTCACTGCCTCTCTCTGGGCCTCAGTTTCCCCATGTACAAAATGGGGATGATAAAACTTTGGCACAGGGATTGTCTCTCAGGATAGAATCATAGAACCATAGGCCTGGAAGGGACCTCGAGAGGCCATCAAGTCCAGTCCCCTGCACTCACGGCAGGACCAGCACCATGTAGACCATCCCTGATGGCACAATTGTGGTGCTTATCTCCCCTACCACTGAGCCCCCTGCCCCACCCCAGCCCCACTCCCAGTCAACGGCCCTGAAGCAGAGCCCAGCCCAGTGCTGAAGACAGGGGGAGCCCTGGCAATATGTGGGGTGGTCTCTTCACCCCATGGGCTCCCCTCTTGAGTTTCCCAGGCTGACTGACGCACCCCCCCCTTTGCAGAGTCCCTCCAGAGTTGGTCTCTGTTCCCACTTTTTCTCACCCTCTTAACACACTCCGACTCTCCCTCCCAGTCCCCTCTTTCTGCACCCTCCAGCCTGGGCCCACCCCTCTGTGGCTCTCTGCGTCCCCCCCAGCCCCACTGCCCTTCCACATCCTGGCAGTGCCAATGCGAGAGCAGGGCCACCCCGCCCCCCGCCATCCTCACACCCCCTTCCAGCAGCTGAGCTCATGAGAGACACGGGAGTTTCACTTTTGTTTCTCAGATAACATTTTGCCTGCACGGAGAGAAGCGAAGATTTGGCCAGGTAAGAACGGGGGCCAGGAGAGCAGGGGTGCAGGTTTAAGGAGTTTGTCCCAATCTAATCCATCAAGGGCTTCATTTGTGCCAGGACTGAGCCAAAGCATCTCCCGACCTGGCAGTTCAGAGCCCAGCACCTCTGGGCCGGGCAGTTCAGAGCCCCGGCTCCTGTGGGTTTGCCATGTCACTTATTAATGTAAAAAAACTGCGTAAGCCCTGGCACCTCTTTTGTTACATATTAATCGCTCCATCTGGTATCAGCTACCCCTGATCTACACCCTCTGGGATGTCTTGAGTGCCCCCGATGTAACGCAGCTGTCCGGGGGGGAGCCTCAATGCCAGAGCAGACTGGGCAGCTTCTTGCACCAGAAACGCTGTCCCAAAGCAAGTCTAGGGCCTAGACCTGCTTCCCAGTGATTTCAGCTCTGCTGGGCTGCAGCCAAACTCTCAGCCAGCTCTGTTGTTACACAGTGGAAACAAGAAAAGTCAAATAGGACCTAGGGCATAAGCCCCTGCAACAACTGCAAACACACGCTTTCTCTCCCCTCTAGGCTTTGACACCCATGTCCCCCGCCTAGCGAGTGCAGGTCAGTTGCGGGGGAGTCCCTCAGTCAGGGCAGGCCAAGCCCAGTTCTGCTGCCCTGGATTCACACAACAAGGATACCAGCCCTTGTACCCCTGCCCCGATAACAAAGTGACTCGTGACCCAACACCAGCCGAAAGGGATCCTTTGGGCAAAGCAGCCCCATTGTGCTGAGCATCTGGGCAGGGTAGCTGTGTCCACACAAACAAGGTCGGCTGCTAAAGTCCTTTTCCTCCACTCGTCCACCTCTTCCTCCTCCTTTCCCCTAGTTGTCAGGGGGGAGCTCAAGAAATGCCTGGTTTCCGAGAAGAGGCAGCTCTGCTGGGGTGTTATTTCTGTAGGGAGAGGAAGTGGTAACTTCCTGAAACTCGCAAGGTGGCTTTGTCTCCTATGGGGCAAAATGTCTGACCCCATGACAGTCACCACTCCTGGCATTTCCAGTGCCCCTTAAAGCCCTGGAGTACTTGTGGCACCTTAGAGACTAACCAATTTATTTGAGCATAAGCTTTCGTGAGCTACAGCTCACTTCATCGGATGCATTTAGTGGAAAACACAGTGTGGACATATATATACACACAGAACATGAGAAAAAAAACAAAACCAAAAAACCAAACCTGTAAGGAGAATGATCAATTAAGATATTAAGATGAGCTATTACCAGCAGGAGAGCGGGGTGGGGGGAGGGGGGGGCTTTTTGTAGTGATAATCAAGGTGGGCTATTTCCAGCAGTTAACAAGAACGACTGAGGAACAGTGGGGGGAGGGGGGTGAAAAAAAATAAACATGATTTCAACAATTTCCATCCCACCATCAACCTCAGCCTGGACCAGTCCACACAAGAGATCCACTTCCTGGACACTACAGTTCTAATAAGCAATAGTCACATAAACACCACCCTATACCGGAAACCTACTGACCGCTATTCCTACCTACATGCCTCCAGCTTTCACCAAGACCACACCACATGATCCGTTGTCTACAGCCAAGCTCTGCGATACAACCGCATTTGCTCCAACCCCTCAGACAGAGACAAACACCTACAAGATCTCTATCAAGTGTTCTTACAACTACAATACCCACCTGCGGAAGTGAAGAAACAGGATTGACAGAGCCAGAAGAGTACCCAGAAGTCACCTACTACAGGACAGGCCCAACAAAGAAAATAACAGAACGCCACTAGCCGTCACCTTCAGCCCCCAACTAAAACCTCTCCAGCGCATCATCAAGGATCTACAACCTATCCTGAAGGACGACCCATCACTCTCACAGATCTTGGGAGACAGGCCAGTCCTTGCCTACAGACAGCCCCCCAACCTGAAGCAAATACTCACCAACAACCACATACCACACCACAGAACCACTAACCCAGGAACCTATCCTCGCAACAAAGCCCGTTGCCAACTGTGCCCACATATCTATTCAGGGGACACCATCACAGGGCCTAATCACATCAGCCACACTATCAGAGGCTCGTTCACCTGCACATCCACCAATGTGATATATGCCATCATGTGCCAGCAATGCCCCTCTGCCATGTACATTGGTCAAACTCGACAGTCTCTACGTAAAAGAATAAATGGACACAAATCAGATGTCAAGAATTATAACATTCATAAACCAATCGGAGAACACTTCAGTCTCTCTGGTCACGCAATTACAGAAATGAAAGTTGCGATATTACAACAAAAAGACTTCAAAAACAGTCTCCAGCGAGAGACTGCTGAATTGGAATTAATTTGCAAACTGGATACAATTAACTTAGGCTTGAATAGAGGCTTGGAATGGATGGGTCATTACACAAAGTAAAACTATTTCCCCATGTTTATTTCTTTCCCTCCCCCACCCCCACGCCCACTCTTCCTCAGTCCTTCTTGTTAACTGCTGGAAATGGCTCACCTTGATTATCACTACAAAAAGTCCCCCCCCACCCCCCCCCCGGCTCTCCTGCTGGTAATAGCTCATCTTAATTGATCACTCTCCTTACAGGTTTGGTTTTTTGGTTTTGGTTTTTTCTCATGTTCTGTGTGTATATATATGTCCTCACTGTGTTTTCCACTAAATGCATCCGATGAAGTGAGCTGTAGCTCACGAAAGCTCATGCTCAAATAAATTGGTTAGTCTCTAAGGTGCCACAAGTACTCCTTTTCTTTTTGCGAATACAGACTAACACAGCTGCTACTCTGAAACCTTAAAGCCCTGGTGGCCTCAGTTTCCCCATTTTCAAAATGGGGATGATAAAACTTTTCTGTTTACACCTGAGCTCTTTCAACAGAGACTGTCTCATGAGGTGTCTGTGGAGTGCCTGGCACAGTGGGGCCCTGATCTCAGTCAGGGTCTGTGCCATGCCTGACAGAATTGGAGCTCCCAGCTCCCCTACCACTGAGCCACCCGGTCCCTGCAGTCAAATGGTCCTTAGGCAGAGCCCAGCCCACTGCTGAAGATAGGAGGAGCCCTGGCCATCTGTGTAGGGGGTGGTCTCGTCACCTCATGGGGACCTCTCTGAGTTCCCCAGGCTACCTGATGAGCCCCCCTTTGCAGAGCTCCACCACCCCATGGTAGTCTCTCTATTCCATCTTTTTCTAAGCCTCCTTCCACATTCTGACTTTCTCCCCATCTCTCTCTTTCTGCACTCTCTGGTCTCTGTCACTTGCTTTTCCAGCTTGGCCTCACCCCCTGTGCCTCTCTGTGTCCCCACCACCCTCACTGCCCTCCCTCCCCCTAGCAGCACCTGTGAGAGCAGGACCGCCCCACCCACCCTCACACTCTCACCAGAGGAGGAGCACATAAAAGACATGGGGAGTTTTGCTTTTGTTTTTCAGACGAAGTTTTTCTGCAGAGAAGTAAAGATTTGGCCGGGAAAGAGCCGGTGTGTGTGGGGGGTGTGTGTGTGTGGAGGGTGTCTGCCCCAATCTAGCCCATCCCCCCTCTACCCAGGGGGGCAGGATCATCCCCCCCAATTTATTTCCCCCCACAGGGCCAGATCGACCCCCATAATCTATTTCCCCCCGGGGGCAGGATAATTCCCTCCCATTTGTTTCCTGTGTTTCACCGACCCTCCCCAAGCTGGGCTGGGGCATTGCCCAGTCACATGAGAGTGCTCGGCTCTCTGTGGGGTGCAAATTAATGTGGGGTTCCTGCCAGGCAGGGGCAGTTCCGACCTTGCTGTCTGTCCAGCAGAGAGACAGGCAGAGACAGCAGCTAATCTACCCCCAACGCTGGGCCTGGCTCATGGCATGATTTGAAACAGTCAAACTCTGACTCAGTTCAACCAGCTAAAACTTTGGGTCTGTGGAATTCAACAGAACGTGACTTGTCTTTTGTTAGCCACGATCAGGACATTTACAGGGACAAGCTAAGCCAAGCAAGGAGAGCCAGCCCCCCAGATGTTCACACCCTCCCCCCGCAAAAATAGAGGGGTTCTATATATTTTCTTGCCAGTCTTTAGAGCCCCTTTTCCAGTTTCACCTCTGCCTCCCAGGTGCAGGAGCAGGAAACATGAGGGCTGGGTGCGAACTGCTTTGGTTTAACCTACACGGGGAACAAATATTTAATAATGGTCTCCACAGTCTAGCAGAGGAAGGTCCAACGTGATCCCATGGCTGGAAGCTGAACCTAGACACATTCAAGGTGGAAACCAGATGTCCATGTTTACCAGGGAGGGGAATTAACCATGGGAGCAATGTACCAAGCAGCGTGGTGGATTCTCTGTTGAGATGGGATGTGTTTCTAGGAAATCTGCTCTCGTTCAAACAGGAATTAATTGGGGGGAGTTCTCTGGCCTGTGTTATCCAGGAGCTCAGCCTTGGTCCCTCCTGGCCTTGGAATCTACCAATCTCCGCCATGACTTCTTGCAATCTGTCTTCTTGCTCTGGTTCCACCCAGGGGACAGGAATACAAACTGGGCAGGTAAACTGAGTCACACAGCTTATTGACAGAAATATTCCCGTGTTCTCTCTCTCTCCCACCCCCAGCCTCCTGCTGTCAGGAAGGGGCACACCTGGGCTAGAGATCAGCCGTTCTCCATCAGAGCCCATCTGCTCCTGCGTGCCAGGTTCTCACCCAGTAGGTCCCCCTCTCAACGAGTTCCAGAGAGATGGAGCAACTCTGGGATGATGTCACCTGCTCCATCTGCCTGGATGTCTCGAACAAACCCATCTCCTTCTGCTGGGGCTGCCTCGGGGCTCACTGGCGTGTGGTCTTGGCCCAGGGGTCCCAGTGCCCTACGTGCCGGGCTCCCTGCTCCAGGGACAGGATAACCCCAGACACGTGGTTGAGAGCCCTGGTGGAGAAAATCACAGAGTCCTCATGGGAAGAGATGGAGGTGGTGAGACCAGACAGACCAGATCAGAGAAAGGGGCCTTTCCCCTCTAGGGGCACTGGGTCCCAAAGGCCCCAGGGCAGGGGACTGACTGGCTCAGGGGTGGAGTCCCAGGTCTGACCCTGCTCTCTCCCTGCAGCAGGGGCCGGGGGCTCAGCCAGAGCCGGGCCGCCCGGTGCAGCTGGTGCGTCTGGACGAGGAAGGGAACCTGACCCTGGACAAGGAGGCCCTGAGCCGCTGCCTGGAGCAGGGTGGGGTGGGGGACGCCCCCGTCTGCCTGGTGTCCATCATCGGGGAGCAGCGCCGGGGCAAATCCTTCCTGCTGAACTGCCTGCTGCGCCAACTCCAGAGCCCGGTGAGAGAGGACGGGATCCCCAGTTAAGGCCCCGCCCCCTGAACCGCAGACCCCGCCCACCCCAGACAGGGCCCCGCCCCCTCCACCCCAGGCCTTGCCCCCTACAGCAAAGGTCCCCTCTCCCTAGCCAGGGCTCTCCCCCTGTACCAGGCCCAGGGCAGAGCAACTGAGGCCCCACCCTCCAACCATGCCCCCCCACCAAGCAACATAGGCCCCACCCTCCAGCCATGGCCCCTCCCCCTGCAGCACAGGCCCCATGCCCTCCCCATGTATCACCGGACCCACTCTCCAGCCGTACCTTCACTCCCAGACTGCTAGGACTCCACCCCCTCCCCTGCTCCCTCAGGACCCCAGACCCAAACCCCGTTCCCTCCTGACCTTGCCCTGGTCTCCCCCTACAGGAGGCTGTGGATGCGTCATGGATGGACCGAGAAGACGAGATCCTGGGGGGGGTTTGAGTGTTGTAATGGGATAGAGACCGTGACGAAGGGGGTATGGATGTGGGACCAGCCCCTCTGGGTCCAGGACCAAGGGAGGAGGGTGAGTGGGGCAGGGAGCAGGCAGGGGGATGGGGAATGGGGCAGTAGGGGCGGGGAATGAGGGTGGTGTGGGGGGAAGATTCTAAGGGAGCAGGGGGGCTGGAATAGTGGGGGAGGGGAGAGGGGAATGGGGATGTCTGGGGTGCAAAGTCCTGTGTGGAGGTAGGGGGACTGGAGGGCTGGAGGAGGCGGGATGGAGCAGTGGGTGGGGGGAGAGAAATGGGCAGATGGGGGCAAGGTCCCAGCCCTGGGATTTCCTACAGACACGCTGGGCTGGAGTTGGGGGTGGGGGATGTTCACAGCTTGAAGCTCCTCCCCCAGGGCCCGCCTCCAGCCAGCGTGCCCAGGCCAGGCCCCAGGGAGCCGGGCAGCGGAGGTGCCGGGGCTGGGCAGGGGCGAGGGTGGTGTTAGCACAGGACGCCCGTCGCTGTGGCCAGTGGATCTGTCTGTGTGTCTGTCCCTGCAGGTGGCCGTGTTCCTGGTGGACACTGAGGGCTGCCTGGACCTGCAGCGCCCCATGGAGACCAGCATCAAGCTCTCCGTGTTCAGCATATTGCTCAGCTCCTACTGGGTGGGGGCACCATGCTGCAGGGGACGGGACTGGGGGCTCCGCAGGTGGTGCCATGCTGCGGGGAGTGGGCGGGGGGGGGGTCGGCAGGGGGGGCTGTTCTGCTGTGAGGTGAGCTGAGGTGTGGGGTTGGCGGGAGGGCTCACCTTTTCTTATTATTATTTTCTAGATCTTCAATATTTCCAGCACGTTTACGCGGACGGAGGCAGATTATTTGGAGGTGGGTGGGGCAGGGGATACACACAACTCTACTGACATGGACCTGCCAGCCAGGTCGCTGCCGTGAGGACCCAAGTCCCTGGGCGGTGTGGGGATTGGAGTGGGGCAGTCTAGAGGCTGTTATTGATGTTTAGAAAGACCTAGCGATCTCGCCCCAGGCTGGGGTTTCAGGTGTGGTGAGTCTGAACAGTAATACATGATCAGTCATTAATAAAATATTAGTGACTGTCATATTTCTGGTTATTTATCATTACCTGGCAGCTATTATTCATTAACCAATAGGCTCTGGGCAGTTGGTTCTCACAGCCGAGTGCTGGACCTCCTGAAGGTCCGGTGGAGAAGAAACTTTTGTGTCCCGGTTCACTCCACTAAGTGATCTGAAATGTGTCTGCGGACTCAGATTGCCGGGATGGTGAGGGAGCCTTGTGGCAGCTCACGGTGGGTTTGGTGACCTAGAGCTGGGGTGGGTGGAGCAAGGGGTTAGCCCAGATACAGCTTCCCCCAGAAATCAGCGTTTCTCACAGCGCGGGCCCATCCAGAATGTCACACTTAGCCAAGCCAGGGCCAACAGAGTTAAGGGAAACACCCTCACAACCGTACCTCGGCCTTCTTGGGCTGGCACCTTAGTACGCCCGTGGCACCCAGCCCCACTCTCTGCCTGTGCCCCTGTCAGGGTTCCCTCCCCACTCTGAACTGTGGGACACAGATGTGGGGAACCGCATGAAAGACCCCTAAACTTATTTCTACCAGCTTAAATTAAAAACTTCCCCAAGGCACAAATTCTTGCTTGCCCTTGGACGGTATGCTGCCACCACCAAGTGAGTTAGACAAAGACTCAAGGAAAAGAACCACTTGGAGTTCCTGTTCCCCAAAATATTCCCCCCAAGCCCCTTCACCCCTTTTCCTGGGGAGGCTTGAGAATAATATCCTCACCAATTGGTACAGGTGAGCACAGACCAAATCCCTGGGTTTTAGGACACTAAAACCAATCAGATTATTTAAAAAACCAGGACTTTATTATAAAGAAAAAAGTAAAAGAAGCACCTCTTTAAAATCAGGATGGAAGGTAATGTTTCAGGGTAATCAGATTCAAAATATAGAGGATTCCCCTCTAGGCAAAACTTCAAAGTTACAAAAACAGGGATAAGCCCCCCTCTTAGCACAGGGAAAATTCACAAGCTAAAACAAAAGATAAACTAACTCATTTCCTTCCTCTTACAATTTTTGTAATCTTAGATGCTTAGTTCAGGTATGGCTTTGGGAGATGTATTTTCCCTGCCCTGGTTCCTTGCTGACCCGGGGAGAACAAAGGAACACCAAACAAAAACCTTCCCCCACAGATTTGAAAGTATCTTCTCCCCTTATTGGTCCTTTTGGTCACATGCCAACCAGGTTAGCTGAGCTTCTTAACCCTTTACAGGTAAAGGAGGGATTTTATGCTACCCTTAGCTGTATGTTCATGACAGCCCCATATGGGGCAGGAGCAACTTGCCCTTGCGCGACACCCAGACACTGAGCCTGGATGGGCAGGAGCCAGCCCTGGGCAACCCGCGTCGCTCTGCATTAGTGAAGGGTTTGTGATGGGAAAAATGTTCCATTGGAGTATTTCCAACCAGCCCTAACCCTGACCCTATGTCCCATCCCCCAGTCCTACCTCTGTGTGCCCCACTCCCTTTCCCCCCATGCCAGGGGCTTTGTGTGCCCCATTCCCCCTGCCCCCATGCCAGGGGCTCTGTGTGCCCCCCATTCTCCCTGCTCAGCACCCAGAAGTTCCTGCTACCCCTCTTCCCCAGAGTGGTTTTCCCATTGGCTGCTGATGCTACTCACCAGATCTAAATGGAAATTGGGCTTATGGGGTTTTCCAATTTACCCCTCTCCCCCCACCCCAAATCAGTGGGGTTCTTCCCACTGATGCCTAGGATATCCCCTGAAATATGGGAATTGATCAGATGTGGTCTCAAAAAGTTATCACGATACAGAAAGACAAAGAGAAATGCCATCCGGTTCTGTGTTAGGCCTTTTACTTCGTTTAGCCAATTAACTAACTTGTATAATTAGTTATTTTATATTCATTAAGAGCTGCCAGTTATTGATTATTTGTGAGTCACTACTGGCTGTCAGCTGTTCGTTGTTTTGTACCCACCATTAGTTGGGTCAGTTGATTTCAGAACGATCATTTCGGGAGATGGAAAATAAAAGTCTTGTTGAAAAATGGAAAGCTGATTGTCATAAATATAAAGGGAAGGGTAACCACCTTTCTGTATACAGTGCTATAAAATCCCTCCTGGCCAGAGGCAAAACCCTTTCACCTGTAAAGGGTTAAGAAGCTAAGATAACCTTGCTGGCACCTGACCAAAATGACCAATGAGGGGACTCTTCGGTCCACTGAACGGCATTTGGCTGTTTCTTTTTGGTTAGGTCTGTCAGTGGGGCGGCGATTTGGCACTGACAAAATCAGAATGTTTTCATGCAAACTTCCACTTTCAAAGAACAGCCAAATGTTAGCGTTTGTTGGGTTTCTCTCTCCACATTTTTGGGTTCCACTGTTTCTCAGGTTTCGATCTTTGATTTTCAGTCTTCGGTTTTCAGTTCTTGTTCATTGTGTTTTGGTCCATGGTTGTCAGTTTTGCGGCTTTAGTTATCACTTGGCACATTTCATTTATTGGTTTTTGTTCTTTGATCGTCAGATTTTGATTCTTCTCATTGATTGGGGGGGGGGGTTTGTTATCAATTTTCTGCTTTTTGTTTATTGATTGCAAGATTTCAATGTTTGTTTACTGGGCTTCATTTATCAGTGTCTTTCTACTGATTATTGGCTTTTAATTTTTCGTTATATATTTGGGGTGTTTAAACATTTTTTTCATTTCTGCTGTTCACTTATTGCTTCTTTTCACTGTTGGTTTTCTGTCTTTGACTATTCATTTTCTAACTCTGACTTGGTTTTGTGACCTTGATAACTGGTCTTCGTACTTCAGTTACTGGTTTTCTGTTTTGGCTATTGGTTTTCTGGCTTCAATTACTACTTTTGTGGCTTTGATTACTGGACTTCTGCTTTCATTTATTGGTTTTCTGATATTGATTACTGGTTTTCTGTCTTTCACTTTGGGGTATTTTGACTTTGATATCTGTTTTTCTGACTTGCACTGCTGGTTTTGACTCTCTGACTATTGGTTTTCTTATTTCAAATACTTATTTTTTATTGTTGGCTTTCAGACGTTAATACCCGATAACTTGCTTCGATTACTGGTTTTCTGACTTTGATGAATACTGGTTTTCTATTTTTGACCATTGGTTTTCTGGCATTAATTATTAGCTTGTTGATTTTGCTAAGTGATTGTGTGATTTCTTTCACTGCTTTTCGGGTTTCAGTAACTGGTTTTCTGATTCCAGTGACTAGTTTTCTTCTTTTCATTATTTCTTTTTGGTCTCCAATTATTGGCTCAATGAGTTTGATTTTTGGCTTTCTGTGTCTTCTGTGACTGCTTTTCTAGAACCAGCTATTGGGTTTTCTGAATTCAGTTATTGCTTTTAGATGTGTGATTACTGGTGTTGAGTTATTGTTGTTTGAAATTATGTTTTCTCTCTTCATTTTGTCAATTTTTCTCTCTTCAGTTATCAGTTTCCACTTAATGTTGTCTGGGATCCCTTTAGTTTCAGTGGCATTTATTTCACTCGTTTATTTTGCGTCGCCAATCTTGCTTGGTCACCTTTGGGGGGATGGTTTCTTCAAGATGGAAAAAATTGCCTTGTCTCTCTCTCTGCATCTCAGATGTTCATTCAGGTTGCGAAGGAGGTTGGAGAGACCTGCAATCTGGCCCCAATCCAGGTGGGTCCTTGTTTCCCATCACCCCCCGACATGGGGGTACAATGCTAGTTCCACCCCACCCCCCCTGCTCCAGTCACCCCACCTGATTCTTACTATTCCTATCTATCATCTCTATTATCAGAGCACCTCAGAGCCCCCATCCTAGGCTCGGACCCCGTCATGCCAGGCGCTGGACAAACCCAGAACAGCCAGTCCCTGCCCCCATTGTTCTTCCACCCCCACGTCATGCCCAGGGTCTCAGTGTCGGTGGCTGGGTTGGACAGCAGCCTCCAGCTCTGGTCTCCTCTCTGTGCCCCCCCCAGCCCCAGAGTGACCCTTCCCCTGTGCTCTCCGTTGCAGCACCTGGACCTGTTGGTGCGAGATTGGCAGCACTCCAGAGCCTACGGCGCAGGCGGGGGGCAGGAGTATCTCACAGACATCACACAGGTAATGATCAGAGCCGGGCGCCACGTGTGTTCATGGAAACAGCAAACTCTGACTTTGGGGTGGAGTTGAAGGGTTCCACAGCGGGTCTGATGGCCGCAAATGTTACTTTGATTCCTGTAGAAACTGGAGGCCTCTGCTCAGCAGCCCCTGGTGGTTGGAGCCCTGAGGGAAAGCGGCTCCCGGTGCTACCTACTGCCCCACCCTGGCACAGAGTTCATCAGGAGCGAGGCAGGGATGCCAGGCAGTAAGAGACCCATCTTCTCCCCTCTTACCCCCTGCACTGCTCCCCCAGCCCCCACCCCCTCCTGCACTGACCTCACTCCTGTCCCTGCACCCATTCCCATCCCCTCTTGCACTTCCCCCATCCTCATCCATGCCCCCATCCCCACCCTCTCTCCTCTGCTGCCCCTTTCTTGCCCCTTTCTCTCCCTTCTGTGCTGCCCCCACCCCAAAATCCCAGTGCCCAGCTCACCCCCCCCTTGACTTAGAATGTACTGTCCTGCCCATGGCACAGGTGAACTCACTAGGTCACAGCATCTATGCAGGAGGGGAGGGGGACATGCAGGGTCACTGCTGGGGTCCTGGGATCCTAGGGGGACAAAGCAGGTTTCCCCCTTTTAGGTCTTCATGGGTCCCCTGGCACCACGCAGTGGAGACTGCTGACCCCTCCACTGCAGCCTCTCCCTGCTCCCGCTGCTCCTCCCCCATTTCCCCCCGGGCAGTGGGGTGTGTGTGGGGAGGTGCTAAGCAGCCATTGCCCAGAGATGGAATCTCATTTCCTGTGGCACAAACTAGCCCCCCACATACCCCATTTAACTTGTGTCCTACCCCAGACACCTGGGTCCCTCCTGGATGCCTATGTCCTTTTTCCCCCCCCTGCAGACATGGACAAATATTTCCGACAGTATCTGCGGGACTATGTCAGCACCGTAGAGAGCTCAGCAGGGATACACGCTCGGACGGACCAAGCCAGGAAGGGGCTGACTGGGGCTCAGCTGGCTGCCAGGATCAAGGTGGGAGAGTGGGGTCTGCTAAAGGGGAGGGGGGCCTGGATGGGAGACAGCAAAAGGGCTGCAAAGCAGGGACAGGGGTTCAATATGGGCTGCCATGCTGCAGGGAGCAGGTGGGGGTCAGCAGGGGGCACCGTGCTGCAGGGAGCAGGTGGGGGCTCAGCAGGGGGCGCCGTGCTGCAGGGAACGGGTGGGGGTCAGCAGGGGGCGCTGTGCTGCAGGGAACAGGTGGCGGTCAGCAGGGGGCTCTGTGCTGCAGGGAACGGGTGGGGGTCAGCAGGGGGCGCTGTGCTGCAGGGAATGGGTGGCGGTCAGCAGGGGGCGCTGTGCTGCGGGGAATGGGTGGGGTTCAGCAGGGGGCGCTGTGCTGCGGGGAACGGGTGGGGGTCAGCAGGGGGCGCTGTGCTGCGGGGAATGGGTGGGGGTCAGCAGGGGGAGCTGTGCAGCAGGGAGCGGGCAGGAGGCTCAGCGGGGGGCAGGGGGCTGAGCTGTCCCTGATCCCAGTTCCCCCGGGTGTTACTCCCCACAGGACGTCTCCCAGTACTTGAAGACCAAACGCTACAACTTTTCCTCCCCTGTGAAGGTACCGGGTCACCCCTCTCCCCGCCTCTCTCTTTCCAGCCTGGATATGGGAGGTGGGTGGGGGCTGGTTCTCTTGACCCTGACCCCAGGTTCTCCTGCCATTGGCCAGTCACACTAGGCCAGGAGGGGGCACCATAACAGATCCCCCAAATGTGCTTATCGGGGACTCCCAGCACGCAAGAGATAAGGGCACGTGCAGGAAGCCCTGCCAGAGAACCAGTCCCCTCCACTGCGGTGGCAGCAATGTGGCTATTACCATGGGGTCAAGGGGCTGCCCCCTGGCTCTGGGGGAATGTGGGGAGTCGGGGGCCAGTGTGGAGGTGATAGCAAGGAGCAGGGTCCTGTAGGAATGGGGGGAAGGTGGTGACTGGGGGGGGGGCTCCCAGTTCAGAGATGGGCCTATCCCATCCCCACCCCCACCCTTTCCCCTCTCCCTTCACAGATGGCCGAGGTGTTTGCAGCCATGAGAGAGGAGATAAACGGCAGAGCAGTAGAAGCCGCCAGGCAGGAATATGAACAATTTGTGCAGCAGCTGGTGAGCTCGGAGGGGCTGTGGGTCGGGGATCAGGGGCACCGGCAGAGCTGGGGGGAGCAGGACTGGGCTAGCAGGGGGCTGTGGGTCGGGGTTGAGGGGGCTGCGGGTGTGTGAGGCGGCGGCGCCCCCTGTGGCTGGGTAACGCTCGTGTCCGTCCCGAATGGCCAATCTCTCCCGGCAGGACCGTGACCACCAGAGCACGAGCAGCTGCCTGAGTGTGAAGCCTGCAGAAATGCAGCATCGCCTGGAGGAGAAACGCCAGGAGCTGCTGGAGCGCTGCCGGGGGAAGCTGCGGGGCAAAGACCCCGAGAAACAGGCGGCCCTGGAGGAGCTGAAGCAGGGGCTGGACAGGCTGATGGCCCAGTTCCTGCCAGGATATGAACAGCGCTTTAAAGTGAAGAAGGCCATGGGGTTGGGCCTGTACACTGGGGGGGAGGAGGTCCTGGAAGTGGTGGGTGTGGGTATCGGAGTAGGCATCGGGGCGGGTGTAGCTATGACTGTGGTGGGGCTGGAGGAAGCAGTGTCTCTTGGGGTCAGGGCGGGGGGCTTTGGCCTGATTGGGGGCGGGTGCAGCTGGGTGGACAGAAGGTGGTCTGGATCCAGACAGACACCACCACCCAAGGGCAGGAGGACAAGGAGGAGGGTGGGGCAGAGTATTTGGGTCAGGAGCCCCGACTGCGGGGTGACAGATAGTGGGGAGGAACATCACCCCCCAACCTGGGCAAGTCTCTGTCCCAGCCCTGAGTAATGAGAACCTCTGTATGCAAGGGGATAGATAGATAGATAGATAGATAGATAAGAACAACTTACAACGGGTAGCTTGATTGCAAAAGGACACAAAGGTTGATTGATTTACAGCGGGGTCCCAATCCGACAGTTTTCAGTTCATTCTCAGCCCAGGTCCACGTGCCATTAGCCAGTCGCACTAGGGAGGGACACCACAACAGCTTCCCCAAATGCCCTGATTGGGGCTCCCTGACCCCAGCCCCCAAGAGATAAGGGGACCCCCAGGGACCCAACTGGAGAACCAACCCCCTGCACTGGGGTGGTGCTCATGTGACCATGGCTGTGGGGTCATTGTGGGGCTGCCCCTGGCTTTGCAGGAATGGGGGGTTTGGGGGGTGAGTGGGGAGGTGGGAGCAGTGCGCAGGGCCCTGGAGGAATGGAGGGAGAATGTGGTGAGTGGGGGTCTCCCAGTTCATCGATCGTCCCACCCCCATCCCCTCCCTGTCCCCTCTCCCCCCACAGATGGCTGAGATGGCAGAGATGAGAGAGAAGGCAAACAGAAAAGCAGTAGAAGGCATCAGGAGGGAATATGAACAATTTCGAGAGAAGCAGGTGAGTGCAGCGGGGCTGTGGGTCGGGGATAAGGGGCACCGGCAGAGCTGGGGGGAGCAGGGCTGGGATAGCAGGGGGCTGTGGGTCGGGGTTGAGGGGTCTGCAGGCGTGTGAGGTGGCGGCGCCCCCTGTGGCTGGGTAACGCTAGTGCCCGTCCCGAATGGCCGATCTCTCCCCGCTCCCGGTAGGACCGTGACCACCAGAGCACGAGCAGCTGCCTGAGTGTGGAGCCTGCAGAGATGCAGCATCGCCTGGAGGAGAAACGCCAGGAGCTGCTGGAGCGCTGCCGGGGGAAGCTGCAGGGCGAGGATCCCCAGAAACAGGCGGCCCTGGAGGAGCTGAAGCAGGGGCTGGACAGGCTGATGGCCCAGTTCCTGTCGGACTACAAACTGCGCTTTAAAGTAAAGAAGGCCATGGGGTTCAGCCTGTACACTGGGGGGAGGGAACCAGGCCTTGGTGGGTGTGGGTTTCAGGGCAGGCATCGGGGCGGGTATAGCTGTGGCTGTGGTGGGGCTGGAGAAAGAGTGGCCATTGGGGTTGAGGCTGGGGACTTTGGCTTGATTGCGGGGGGAGTTGGGGGGAGAGCGTTGGGCAACTGGGTGGGCCCCGGTTTGGGTGGAAGTTGGTCCGGAACAAGACAGGCACCAACACCCCAGGACAGGGGAGACAAGCGGGAGGGCAAGGCAGGGTGTTCAGATCAGGATACCTGCTGTGGGGTGGCAGATAGTGGGAAGGAAACATCATGTCTCACCATGGGCAAGGGTCTGTCCCAGCCCTCAGCACTGGGAACCTCTGTATGCAAGGGAATCAATACAGGGGGAAATGGGGATAGATAGATAGATAGATAGATAGATAGATAGATAGGATTATGGGGATAGACAGATAGATAGATAGATTAGATAAGAACAACTTATAACAGGTAGCTAGATTGCAAAAGGACACAGAGGTTGACTGATTTACAGTGGGGTCACCGAGATCAGGATCCAGCCCTGACCCCATTGACATCAGTCGATAAATAACTCGGCCCCAGATCCTGTGCTCCAAGCCGGCCCCTGCATCCCTCAGTCTCAAGTTTCGTTAGTTTTCATTCCCAACCAGTGGGAGGAAAACCTATTTTCACATTTTGTGTTTGTTTTAAAGATTTTCTCCTCCCCTGATACAGTGCATGTGTCGCGGGGACAATTTTGGGGCGTTTCCCCTCATTTCCCCACTGATGTGAAAACAATCCAAAGGGTTTTGGGAGGTTAGAAACCCCCAAATCCCAATCCGACAGTTTTCAGTTCATTCTCAGCCCAGGTCCACCTGCCAGTAGCCAGTTACACTAGGGAGGGGCACCACAACAGCTCCCCCAGATGTCCTGATTGGGGCTCCCTGACCCCAGCCCCCAAGAGATAAGGGGACCCCCAGGGACACAACCAGAGACAGGTGGACATGGCCGTGGGGTCCTTGGGGGACTGCTCCAGGCTCTGGGGGAATGTGGGGGTATGGGGTTGAGTTGGAAGGTGACAGCAGCGAGAAGGGTCCTGGAGGCTTGGGGTGAAGTGGTGAGTGGGGGGAGAGGGAGGCTCCCAGTTCAGAGATTGTCCTGTCCCAAACCCACTCTGTCCCCTTTTCCCCACAGATGGCCGAAATGTCAGCGATAATAGAGGAGGTAAACAAGAGAGCAGTAGAAGCCACCAGGACGGAATTTCAACAATTTGTGAAGCAGCTGGTGAGCACGGAGGGGCTGTGGCCGGGAGTGAGGGGCACCGGCAGAGCTGGGGGGAGCCGAGGGCTGGGCTACCAGCGGGCTGTGGCTCAGAGTTGAGGGGGCTGCGGGTATGCGCGGCGGCAGCGCCCCCTGTGGCTGGGTAATGCTCGTGCCCGTCCCGAATGGCCGATCTCTCCCCGCTCCCGGCAGGACCGTGACCACCAGAGCATGCGCAGCTGCCTGAGGGTGAAGCCCCTGGAGATGCGGCATCGCCTGGAGGGGAAACGCCAGAAGCTGCTGGAGCGCTGCCGGGGGGAGCTGCTGGGCGAGGATCCCCAGAAACAGGCTGCCCTGGAGGAGCTGAAGCAGGGGCTGGACGAGCAGACGACCCCGTTTCTGTCAAACTACGGGGGAGCGCTTTAAAGTGAAGAAGGCCGAGTGGTTGGGCCTGGCCGTGGGGTGGGGCAGGGGACGTCCTGGCCGTGGGGAGCGCGGGGATCAGGGCGGGCGAGGGTGCGGGTGTAGCTGTGGCTGTGATGGCGATGGAGGAAGCAGTGGCCATTGGGGTTGGGGTGGGGGCTTTGGCTGGATCGGGGGGGCTGTGGGCAGGTGGCTGGGGGCTGGGTTTGGACAGAAGACAGCCCAGAATATGACAGGCACCAGCCTCCCAGGGCAGGGGGACGAGTGGGAGAGCGGGGCAGGATGTTCTGATCAGCAGACCCTGCTGCGGGGGTGGAGGGGGGGGACATAGTGGGAAGGAACCATCACACCCCACCCTGAGACTGTCCCAGCACTCAGCACTGGGAACCTCTGTATGCAAGGGGATGGATGGATAGATAGATAGATAGATAGATAGATAGATAGATAGATAGGGGTGGATGAGGATAGATAGATAGATAGGTAGGTTTGTTTATGGGAATAGATGAAAACATCTTACAATGGTAGCTAGATTTCAAGAGGACGCAGCTTGACTGATTTACAGCGGGGTCACGGAGATCAGAATCCAGCCCTAATCCCATCAACGTCAGTCGATAAAAAACCCTGCCCTGAATCCTGTGCTCCGAGACGGCTCTTGCATCCCTCAGTCACAAGTTTAATTGTTTTTCATTTTCAACAAGTGGGAGAAAAATTGATTCTCATATTTTGCGGGTTTTTTAAAATATTTTCTCTTCCCCTGATACGGTGTGTGTGTAGAGGGGACAATTTCGGGGTGATTTCCCTTCATTTCCCCACTGAGTTGAAAACAATAGAAAGGGGTAAGGGAGGTTAGAAACCCCCAAATCCCAATCCACCTGTTTTCTGTTCATTCTCACCCCAGGTCCACCTGCCATTGGCCAATCACACTAGGCCAGGAGGGGTCACCGCAACAGCTCCCCCAAAGTCCTGATCGGGGCTCCCTGCCCCCAACCCCTGGGACATAAGGGGACCCCCAAGGGATCCAGCTGGAGAACCACCCCTATCCACTGGGGCAGTGACAATGTGGCCATGGCTGTTCCCTGGCTCTGAGGAAATGTGGGGAGTTGGGGGGCAAGTCGGAAGGCGACCACAGCGAGCAGGGTCCTGTAGGAATGGGGAGAAGGTGGTGAGTGTGGGGGAGGGGGGCTCTGAGTTCAGAGATGGTCCCATCCCAACCACCACCCTGTCCCCTCTCCCCCCGTAGAGGGCTGAGATGGAGGCAAACAGAAAAACAGTAAAAGCCACCAGGACGGAATATGAACAATTTGTGCAGAAGCAGGTAAGTGCAGAGGGGCTGTGGGTCGGGGATAAGAGGCACCGTCAGAGCTGGGGGGAGTAGGGCTGGGCTAGCAGGGGGCTGCGGGTGGGGGCTGAAGGGGCTGCAGATGTGTGAGGTGGGGGCGTCCCCCTGTGGCTGGGTAACACTCGTGCCCGTCCCGAATGGCTGATCTCTCCCCGCTCCCGGCAGGACTGTGACCACCAGAGCACGAGCAGCTGCCTGAGTGTGAAGCCCCTGGAGATGCGGCATCGCCTGGAGGGGAAACGCCAGGAGCTGCAGGAGCGCTGCCGGGGGGAGCTGCTGGGCGAGGATCCCCAGAAACAGGCTGCCCTGGAGGAGCTGAAGCAGGGGCTGGACGAGCAGACAACCCAGTTCCTGTCAACCTACGAGCAGCGCTTTCAAGTGAAGAAGGCCGAGTGGTTGGGCCTGGCCGTGGGATGGGGCAGGGGGACGTCCTGGCCGTGGGGAGCGCGGGGATCAGGGCGGGCGAGGGTGCGGGTGTAGCTGTGGCTGTGATGGCGATGGAGGAAGCAGTGGCCATTGGGGTTGGGGTGGGGGGCTGTGGCCGGATCAGGGGGGCTGTGGGCAGGTGTCTGGGGGCTGGGTTTGGACGGAAGACAGCCCAGAATATGACAGGCACCAGCCCCTCAGGGCAGGGGGACGAGTGGGAGAGCGGGGCAGGATGTTCTGATCAGCAGACCCTGCTGCGGGAGGGGGACGGGGACATAGTGGAAAGGAACCATCACACCCCACCCTGAGACTGTCCCAGCCCTCAGCACTGGGAACCTCTGTATGCAAGGAGATAAATAGGTTGGTCGATAGGTAGATAGATAAGTTTGTTTATGGGAATAGATGAAAACATCTTACAACTGGTAGCTAGATTTCAAGAGGACACAGGTTGTCTGATTTACAGCGGGGTCATGGAGATCAGAATCCAGCCCTGACCCCATCGACGTGAGTCGATAAATAACCCTGCCCTGAATCCTGTGCTCCGAGCCGGCTCTTGCATCCCTCAGTCACAAGTTTCATTGTTTTTCATTTTCAACAAGTGGGAGAAAAATTGATTCTCATATTTTGTGGGTTTTTTAAAATATTTTCTCTTCCCCTGATACAGTGTGTGTGTAGAGGGGACAATTTCGGGGTGATTTCCCTTCATTTCCCCACTGAGTTGAAAACAATAGAAAGGGGTGAGGGAGGTTAGAAACCCCCCAAATCCCAATCCAACTGTTTTCTGTTCATTCTCAGCCCAGGTCCACCTGCCATTGGCCAATCGCACTAGGCCAGGAGGGGTCACCGCAACAGCTCCCCCAAAGTCCTGATCGGGGCTTCCTGCCCCCAACCCCTGGGAGATAAGGGGACCCCCCGGGACCCAGCCGGAGAACCAGCCCTATCCACTTGTGCAGTGACAATGTGGCCATGGCTGTCCCCTGGCTCTGGGGAAATGTGGGGAGTTGGGGGGCCAGTGGGAAGGCGACCACAGCGAGCAGGGTCCTGTAGGAATGGGGAGAAGGTGGTGAGTGTGGGGGAGGGGGGCTCTGAGTTCAGAGATGGTCCCATCCCAACCACCACCCTGTCCCCTCTCCCCCCGCAGATGGCTGTGATGGAGGAAAACAGAAAAGCAGTAAAAACCGTCAGGGAGGAATATGAACAATTTGTGCAGAAGCAGGTAAGTGCAGAGGGGCTGTGGGTCGGGGATAAGAGGCACCGTCAGAGCTGGGGGGAGCAGGGCTGGGCTAGCAGGGGGCTGCGGGTGGGGGCTGAAGGGGCTGCAGATGTGTGAGGTGGGGGCGCCCCCCTGTGGCTGGGTAACGCTCGTGCCCGTCCCGAATGGCCGATCTCTCCCCGCTGCCGGCAGGACTGTGACCACCAGAGCAGGAGCAGCTGCCTGAGTGTGAAGCCCCCGGAGATGCGGCATCGCCTGGAGGGGAAACGCCAGGAGCTGCTGGAGCGCTGCCGGGGGGAGCTGTGGGGCGAGGATCCCCAGAAACAGGCTGCCCTGGAGGAGCTGAAGCAGGGGCTGGACGAGCAGACGACCCCATTCCTGTCAACCTACAGGGAGCGCTTTAAAGTGAAGAAGGCCGAGTGGTTGGGCCTGGCGTTGGGGTCGGGGAGGGGGACGTCCTGGCCGTGGGGAGCGCGGGGATCAGGGCGGGCGAGGGTGCGGGTGTAGCTGTGGCTGTGATGGTGATGGAGGAAGCAGTGGCCATTGGGGTTGGGGTGGGGGGCTGTGGCCGGATCAGGGGGGCTGTGGGCAGGTGTCTGGGGGCTGGGTTTGGACGGAAGACAGCCCAGAATATGACAGGCACCAGCCCCCCAGGGCAGGGGGACGAGTGGGAGAGTGGGGCAGGATGTTCTGATCAGCAGACCCTGCTGCGGGAGGGGTACGGGGACATAGTGGGAAGGAACCATCACACCCCACCCTGAGACTGTCCCGGCCCTCAGCACTGGGAACCTCTGTATGCAAGGGAACAGATACATTGGTCGATAGGTAGATAGATAGGTTTGTTTATGGGAATAGATGAAAACATCTTACAACTGGTAGCTAGATTTCAAGAGGACGCAGCTTGACTGATTTACAGCGGGGTCACGGAGATCAGAATCCAGCCCTGATCCCATTGACGTCAGTCGATAAAAAACCCTGCCCTGAATCCTGTGCTCCGAGCCAGCTCTTCCATCCCTCAGTCACAAGTTTCATTGTTTTTCATTTTCAACAAGTGGGAGAAAAATTGATTCTCATATTTTGCGGGTTTTTTAAAATATTTTCTCCTCCCCCGATACAGTGTGTGTGTAGAGGGGACTATTTCAGGGTGATTTCCCCTCATTTCCCCACTGATTTGAAAACAATACAAAGGTTGTGAGGGAGGTTAGAAACCCCCCAAATCCCAATCCACCTGTTTTCTGTTCCTTCTCACCCCAGGTCCACCTGCCATTGGCCAATTGCATTAGGCCAGGAGGGGTCACCGCAACAGGTCCCCCAAATGTCCTGATCGGGGCTCCCTGCCCCCAACCCCTGGGACATAAGGGGACCCCCAAGGGATCCAGCCGGAGAACCAGCTCTATCCACTGGGGTAGTGACAATGTGGCCATGGCTGTCCCCTGGCTCTGGGAAAATGTGGGGAGTTGGGGGGCCAGTGGGAAGGTGACCACAGCGAGCAGAGTCCTGTAGGAATGGGGAGAAGGTGGTGAGTGTCGGGAGGGGGGCTCTGAGTTCAGATATGGTCCCATCCCAACCACCGCCCTGTCCCCTCTGCCCCCACAGGGGGCTGTGATGGAGGCAAACAGCAGAGCAGTAGAAGCCGCCAGGCAGGAATATGAACAATTTGTGCAGAAACAGGTGAGCGCAGAGGGGCTGTGGGTCGGGGATAAGAGGCACCGTCAGAGCTGGGGGGAGCAGGGCTGGGCTAGCAGGGGGCTGCGGGTGGGGGCTGAAGGGGCTGCAGATGTGTGAGGGGGCGGCGCCCCCTGTGGCTGGGTAATGCTCGTGCCCGTCCCGAATGGCCGATCTCTCCCCGCTGCCGGCAGGACCGTGACCACCAGAGCAGGAGCAGCTGCCTGCGTGTGGAGCCCCTGGAGATGTGGCATCGCCTGTTGGGGAAATGCTGGGAGCTGCTGGAGCGCTGCCGGGGCGAGGATCCCCAGAAACAGGCTGCCCTGGAGGAGCTGAGGCAGGGGCTGGACGAGCAGACGACCCAGTTCCTGTCAACCTACAGGGAGCGCTTTCAAGTGAAGAAGGCCGAGTGGTTGGGCCTGGCCGTGGGGTGGGGCAGGGGGACGTCCTGGCCGTGGGGAGCGCGGGGATCAGGGCAGGCGAGGGTGCGGGTGTAGCTGTGGCTGTGATGGCGATGGAGGAAGCAGTGGCCATTGGGGTTGGGGTTTGGGGCTTTGGCCAAATCGGGGGGGCTGTGGGCAGGTGTCTGGGGGCTGGGTTTTGACGGAAGACAGCCCAGAATATGACAGGCACCAGCCCCCCAGGGCAGGGGGACGAGTGGGAGAGCGGGGCAGGATGTTCTGATCAGCAGACCCTGTGCGGGGGGGGGGGGGGGACATAGTGGGAAGGAGCCATCACACCCCACCCTGAGACTGTCCCAGCACTCAGCACTGGGAACCTCTGTATGCAAGGGAACAGATACATTGGTCGATAGATAGATAGATGGGGTGGATGATGATAGATAGATAGATAGATAGATAGGTGTGTTTATGGGAATAGATGAAAACATTTTACAACTAGTAGCTAGATTTGAAGAGGACACAGCTTGACTGATTTACAGCGGGGTCACGGAGATCAGAATCCAGCCCTGACCCCATCGACGTGAGTCGATAAATAACCCGGCCCCGGATCCTGTGCTCCAAGCCGGCCCCTGCATCCCTCAGTCTCAAGTTTCGTTAGTTTTCATTCCCAACCAGATGGAGGAAATCCTATTTTCACATTTTGTGTTTGTTTTAAAGATTTCCTCCTCCCCTGATACAGTGCATGTGTCGCGGGGACAATTTTGGGGAGTTTCCCCTCATTTCCCCACTGATTTGAAAACAATCCAAAGGTTGTGAGGGAGGTTAGAAACCCCCAAATCCCAATCCAACTGTTTTCTGTTCCTTCTCACCCCAGGTCCACCTGCCATTGGCCAATCGCACTAGGCCAGGAGGGGTCACCGCAACAGGTCCCCCAAATGTCCTGATCGGGGCTCCCTGCCCCCAACCCCTGGGACTTAAGGGGACCCCGAAGGGATCCAGCCAGAGAACCAGCCCTATCCACTGGGGCAGTGACAATGTGGCCATGGCTGTCCCCTGGCTCTGGGGAAATGTGGGGAGTTGGGGGGCCAGTGGGAAGGCGACCACAGCGAGCAGGGTCCTGTAGGAATGGGGAGAAGGTGGTGAGTGTGGGGGAGGGGGGCTCTGAGTTCAGAGATGGTCCCATCCCAACCACCACCCTGTCCCCTTTCCCCCCACAGGGGGCTGTGATGGAGGCAAACAGCAGAGCAGTACAAGCCGCCAGGCAGGAATATGAACAATTTGTGCAGGAGCAGGTGAGCGCAGAGGGGCTGTGGGTCGGGGATAAGGGGCACCGGCAGAGCTTGGGGGAGCAGGGGGCTGCGGGTCGGGGTGGAGGGGGCTGTGGGTGTGTGAGGCAGCGGCACCCAATGCGGCTGGGTAACGCCAGTGTCCGTCCCTAATCTCTGATCTCTCCCCGCTCCCGGCAGGACCGTGACCACCAGAGCAGGAGCAGCTGCCTGAGTGTGAAGCCCCTGGAGATGCGGCATCGCCTGGAGGGGAAACGCCGGGAGCTGCAGGAGCGCTGCCGGGGGGAGCTGTGGGGCGAGGATCCCCAGAAACAGGCTGCCCTGGAGGAGCTGAAGCAGGGGCTGGACGAGCAGACGACCCAGTTCCTGTCAACCTACGGGCAGCGCTTTAAAAAGAAGTCCATATTGAAGGCCGTGTGCATCGTGGGGGGCGGCCTGGCTGTTGCGGGCGCAGCTGCCGGGGTGGCTGCCGGTGCGCTGGCTGTGGGGGAAGTAGTGGCCATCGCGGTCGGGGCGGGGGGCGGTGGCCTGATTGCGGGAGGTGTGGGGGCCTGGTTCGAACAGAAGTTCGGCCGGAACAAGAGAGGCAGCAACACTGCAGGGCAGCAGGACGGGAGGGCGGGGCAGGGAGCTCAGATCAGGAAGCCCTGCTGCCGGGGGGGGACCTAGTGGGAAGGAGCCATCACACCCCACCCTGAGCAAGACTCTGTCCCAGCCATCAGCACTGGGAACCTCTGTATGCAAGGAGATAGATAGATAGATAGATAGATAGATAGATAGAGGGGGTGTATGGGGATAGATAGATAGATTTATGGAATCAGACAGAAAGAACTTACACCAGGTAGCCAGATATCAAAAGGACACAGAGATCGATTGATTTACAGAGGGGTCACGGAGATCAGAATCCTGCCCTGACCCCATCGATGTCAGTCGATAAATAACCCTGCCCTGAATCCCGTGCTCTGAGCTGGCCCCTCCATCCCTCAGTCACAAGTTTCATTGGTTTTTATTTTCAACATGTGTGAGTAAAATTGATTCTCATATTTTGCATTTGGTGGTTGCTGGTTTTTTTTAACGTTTTCTCCTCCCCTGAAGAACTGTGTGTCGAGGGGACAATTTTGGAGGGGGTTTCCCTCATTTCCCCACTTATTTGAAAAATGATACAAAGGGAGGAGGGAAGTTAGAAAACCCCCAAGTCCCATTCTAACATTTTTCAGTTTATTCTCCCAATGAAAGCTACATTTTCCCACCAAAAAGGCACATCCAAAACAACAGTTTTCCCACAAACAAAAACGTGTTTTGTGATGAAAACTCATTTTTTGATGACGAAAAGACTCAGGTGAAATATTTCCATCAGCTGGGAGGAGGGAGGATCGCAGCATCTGTGTGTTCATGTGGAGAAGAAAGGGGGAGTTTGAATTCATGTGAACTGACCCATGTTATCGTCCAAGTGAGGACAGGACAATTGTACGTGTAACTCACATAGCTGGGGTCTGAACGTCTGCACACGGCTTGTCAAACGGGTCACTCACACACCTTTTCCCCGAGCAGAGATCAGGCCGGAGGGTTAAAGGAAGAGAAACAGGAATCTCCTAGCAATGGTGAGCCCCATTCCCTGCCTGCCCCCCTGAGCCAGCCAGTCCCCTGGCCTGTAGCTGGCACCCCCTAGAGGGGAAAGGCCCCATGTCCCTGTCAAACTGTCCTACAGTGGCTCAAAGAGTACCAACCTCAGGGCAGACTGGTGAGTATCAGGGCACAAACCCCCAAATGGTGACGAGTCCTAGACTTAGATTTCACCGACCCAGTATCAAGTGTGAACTCGTCAGGCTCTTTAACAGCCTTAACATGGAGTCCCAGACAGTCCCTCGGGCACCCCGATCTATCTGGTCACCCAGGTGAGCTTGCCTTTGTGACAGATGGGCCCTTACACCAAAGATCACAGCAAAATTCAGGTTACTCCCGTCCTAAAGGACCCATCACCTACCCCAGGTCAATTGCACCGTACATCTCACACCACAGACAACACTTTTAGCCAATCCTATAATAAACTGTCTCAAGATTTATTAAATAAGAGAGTTAGCTACAAAGTTAAAGCAGGTAACCATAGATACATACAAATGAGTTACAAAGTTTCAGGAAGATGTGGGCAGGAAGGTAGGGGCCTGGTTTGGACGGAAGGCGGTCCAGAATGCAAAAGGTACCAATGCCCCAGGGCAGGGTGTTCGGATCAGGAGCCCCGGCTGCAGGGGACACATAATGGGGAGGAAGCATCACACACGCACACCCTGAGCAAGGGTCTGCCCCAGCCCTGAACACTGGGAACTTCTGTATGCAAAGGGGTAGATTAGAGAGGGGTGGTGGTGTATGGGGATAGATAGATAGATAGATAGATGGGATTTATGGGATCAGATAGAAAGAACTTACAACATGTAGCTAGATTTCAAAAGGACAAAAAGAGCCTGACTGATTTACAGTGGGGTCACCAAGATCAGAATCCAGCCCTGACCCCATCGATGTCAGTCGATAAATAACCCTGCCCTTGATCCTGTGCCCCAAGCCGCCCCCTCCATCACACCTTTTATTGGTTTTCATTTTCAAAAACTGGGGTGGGTGGAAACAGATGTTCCTATTTTGGGGTTTTATTACATGAGCTTTCTCAGGAAGTGCCAAGGCAAATCTCCCCAGGCCTAAGAAGTCCAGTCCTCCAGGCTATGTGGGCTGATTTCCAGGAGATCCCTCAGCCTGAGCTTCCTGTTTCTGAAGTTCCCAATTCTCAGCTTGGGGAGGATGGTCTTCATGTCTCCTCTTCTCCCTGCAGACAGACATGAAGGCATCACCACCTGGGATGGCATCACAGCTCAGGGCCAGCTGCACCTGGGCCTCCTCTCAGTCTCTGTTTCCAAGATTTAGGCCTCCAGCCTTCAACTCCCTGGGGTGCGATGTCCCCACGCTCCCACTCACAGACCAGGGAAATAGCTACAGACCCCAGCTGTGATTTCTCTGGGTCTTGAACTGGGCCTGAGCTTTGCGAGACTCAGCTCCGGGTGCTAAGGCCAGTATGTGACCAACACCAGCCTTTTCCAAACGCCGGCTCGATTAATCTCAATGGAGGGGCCCATAGCCTAAGAAGTAAAGGGATCTAACCCACCCAACCATTCACACCCCTCTGTCTCAGCTAATGCTTCCCTTATCCAGACCCCACTCCCCACTTCTGGGGCTGGGTGTCCCACACCGAGGTGTAGGTGGTGCAACCTCGTGATCAGAGCAGGAGTCCGGACTTGCGGTCGAAGCAGAGCCAGAGAGCAGAAGAGGAGGAGTAGTGGGGAGGCCAGCCAGGGGTCAGAGCCAGGAGTTCAGAGCCAGGAGTTCACACGCAGGGCGTAGGGCTGGAGTGGAGCAGCCAAGGGGTGGAGCAGGGCTGGCCAGGAAGCAGGTCTGGGGCAGCTAATACTTAAAGTGTTCGTAAAACAGTCCTGTCATCTTCCACGTGCTTCACGGGTGGACAGTACAGAGCGGACTGGCAGGAGCTCGGGCGTGGCAGGTGTACGGAGATGGAGGCGCTGGATGGAAGAACCAGGGGAATGTGGAAGGCCCTGGCTGACTTCCTCATCAGCCAAGTCAGCCTGTGGCCAAGGATGGAATGGGCCATGGAGACCCAGCTCCTGTTTCCCCACCGGGGCAGGGGGCCTGAGTTAGGAGAGGGGCCATTGGGGATGTTGTCTGGATTCTGCCTGCATGAACTTTGTTGGGAGAGGTCTCTGGAGCTTCTGGTCCACTCCCCTCCACCAAGGCGGCAGCTCCTGGTGTCTCGGCTCTGCTCTCCGGGGTGGAGACATCAGAGTCTGGAGTCGCTCCATCTAAGGATCCAAAAGAGAAGCCTCCTCAGAAGCCCTAGTCCTTCCCAGTGTCCCTGTGTCCTCAGTGTCTATCTCCCAGAGTCCCACGTTAGGAGGGGTGAGGGTGCAGGACTGACAGATGGAGCATGAACAAAGGCAGAGCCATGGAATGGGGGTTGTGTCTGCAGCCCAGACACCAGGGTGATGGGAGACCAGGACATGCACAACAGATTCCATTCCATTCACTACAGATCAAACCTCTAACCCTGTGCAGAACCAAACCAAACTAGGCCCAAATCCTTCCCAGAGAATCCCTCTGATCTTGGCTCCCAAGCTTGTTCTTTTGAAAACCCATCTGCCAACCAGAGACAGGAGTAGAACCCAGAAGCCAAGATTCTCAGTCCCCCCCACCCTCCACTCCTCTAACTAACATACAAGACCCCACTCCCCTTCCAGAGCTAGGGAGAGAACCCAGGAGTCCTGGCTCTCAGCTGTCCCCTCCTCCCCTGCCCTGCTCTATCTCACTCGAGCATATTCCTTCCCTTCCATCCTCATTGATAAAGAGAATAGCTACCCAAGTTGTCCATGAGATGTCAGTGGGCTCTGAGGATAGACCTTACCTCAACTTTCTCTTTTACTGCAGCCATCTGTCTTTCTCCATGCCTGGGGATATTTCCAGACCCTAGAAAGGAATACAAGTGAAAGTCTCTTAGGCTCATATCAATGGAAGATAGTAGCCTACCAATCTAGACCATAGACTTTGTCTCATGAACCCCGTCGAGAACTCCAGACTACCTGGAGTCCTACCTTAGCTCCTGCTGAAATGATAGAGGAGGAACCGAGCTTGTAGCTGGAGCTGCTGAAATTGAGCTCAAGGTGTGAAGTGGGGTTTGTGGTTGAGTTGACCTGGCTCCATGGAGCTACATGGATTAGCAGGAGCACTTCCCCCGCTCCAAACATTCAGAGCAATCATTTCCATTTCGGTCCATGCAGCCACAAGCGTGTTCTGTTCTTGCAAGGGGTCCAAATACACAGGAACTAGACCCTTCCTGCATCTGAAATCAAGCACAATTTTCTCTCTGTCCCTCTCCATCCAGCCCCGAGGAGAACCTGCCTCAGATCCTGTGCTCACTGCAGGACAACCATAAATACTGTACTTCTTAAGCATTGCCCCGCAGGGCAAGTCTAGAGACCCATCCTGTACTTTTGAAATCTGCTTTCTCTGAGGACACCGCAGCTGCATCTTTCTCTAAGGATCTGGCACCTCCTGGAATCTCTGGATCATTCTTTGCAGGTAAAGCCATTCCTGGATTTTCTGGTCCATTCTTCAGTGGCGATGTGGCAGAATTTTGTATCACTGTTCCCTTCCTTGAGGACAACATGGCTTATGGCTTCTCACGTTCTTCTGGCTTCTCTGGATCATTCTTCTCTGAGGACGTGGCATCTTCTGAGTTCCGTGAATCAATATCTCCTGAGGATGGGTGACTGTCTCTGGATTCCCTAGGTCATTCTCCTCATGCGGTAGAGCGGTTTCATAATTCTCTAGATCATTCTTCTCTAGGGATGTGGCACCTCCTGGATTCTCTAGCGCATTCTTCCCTGAGGTTACAGCAAATTGTGGATTTTCTGCTCCTATCTTCTCAGCGAACATGCCACCTTCTGGATTCTCTGCATCATTCCTCTGAGTTACGTACCCTGCAAAAGGAGAACAAATAGACCCCCTCCTCATCACCTGACAGAATTTGTTGCAATTCCAGACACTTCCTTGGGTGAGAGAGAACGAGGATGTGGCTCTGTTCAGCCCTCAGCCACTTTCCTGAGGCTGCGGGCTGCTGCCCTGCATTTTAGTTAGCTCAGTAGTGACGGAAAACACTAAAAATAGACAAAGAAATCCTGTGGTGTAAGGATTGTGAAGGTGTTACTTTGCGGGGTGTGGGGGAGGCGGAGGCATGGGACTGTGACAAAAAAATTTGGGGGGGGGTGGGATTTGGTGCTAAATCCTCAGGTTTCAAGGAATGTTACAGACATGCTGTTTAAAAAGCGAGAGAAGTCACTGTGATTATCCTGGTGACATGGTCTCCTCAAGACCTCACAGAGACAAAAGAAAAGGCCAAATTAGAACCCAGAAGTCCTGACGCCCAGCCCCCTCTGCTCTAGCCATTGGTCCAACCCGTCACCAATACCCAGCCACATGGCAATATCTCCTGGCTACAG